GTGTGTGTGTGTCTGTGTGTGTGTCTGTGTGTGTGTGTGTTGGTTTGGTTTTGGTGAGGGTTTTATTCCATAGCCCAGTTTGGTCTCTTTCAGCAATCCTGCCTCAGTCTCCTAAATGCTGGGATGCTGGGGATTACAGGCATAAATCGAATCACCATGACCTGGACTTTTTTTTTTCTTTTTCTTTGAAGCAGGGTGTCATGTAACTCAGGCTGCCTGAAACTTACTGTGTATCCAAGATGCCTGAGAACTCCTGATCTTCCTTTCTCCTCCTCTGAAGTGCCGGCTCCCTGCTTGTTTTAATCATTTTCTTAATTTATTCAGAGACAGCATAAAATCACCTTGCACATGGTAAGGACCCCAAAGTCTAGAATATATGTGATTAATACTATTTGTTTCTCTTGTACATGGCCAAAAATGTTAGTTTTCCATTGTTTGCATTTTAATTTTCCTTTTTTTCTTGTGTTAAGTTTTGTTATTAGTTTTCTTATTTCTGAAATTCCTCTTTTAAAATGTTCTTCTAATTATATGCTATGGATTACTAGAAATGGGTACACATTAGGGGAAAATGGGGTCTGGTATATAACTTAGTGGAGGAGCAGTTGTCTAACACGCATAAGGTCCTGAGTCTGTTCCCCAACATGTCAAAAAGAAAAAAAAAAGTCTTCCTCATGAGTAAATGAAAGTAAGTCAGCATCTCATGAGATACAACTGTCTTGCTATCAATTCCTCCTTATCCATTTATTCTTTTTTTGTATGTGTATGTTCATGTATATATAGGTGCATGTGTGTATGTGGTGCATATGAATGTGTGTGTATGTTTGTAGAAGCCAGCGGTCAACCTCAGGTGTCTTCCCTCAGTTGTCACTCACCCACCCCTGTTTTTGAGACAAGGATTCTCATTGGCCAGGACTGGCCAAGTAGGCAAGGTTGTCTGGCCAGTGAGCCTCAGGGATGTGCTTTACCTGTCTCTGCCTGCCCAATGCTGTGGGATTAAAGTGTGCACCAGCTGCCCCCCACCTTTTGGATCTTTTTTTTTTTTTTTTTTTTTTTTTTTTGAGACAGGGTCTCCCTACAGCCCAGTTGTCCTGGATCTCCCTATGTAGACCAGGCTAGCTTTGAACGCAGAGATCCACCTGTCTCTGCCTTCGGAGTGGTGGGATTAAAGGTGTGTACCACCTTGCCAGGCTGCCCCCGCACCCTTTGTTTTAACATGAGTTCTGGAAATTAAATTCAGATTCTTGTACTTACATGCTTGCATAGGAAGAACTTTACTGACTGAGCAATCTCCCCAGCCCCTTATCTCTTGATTCTTGTGGGTTTTAAATTTTATTTATTTTTATTTTATGTGTATAGTTGTTTTGCTTACATGTTTATAAGCATACCACATGCATGCACTGTCTGAGGAGACCAGAAGAGGGCACCAGATTCCCAGTAACTGGAGTTTAGTAGCAACTCCATAGGTGTTGAGAACCAAACCCAGGTCCTCTGCAAGAGAAGCCAGTGCAGTGCCCCTAACTGCTAAGCCATCTCTCCAGTCCCATGAAAAACTGAGTTTGATCCCTAAGATTCATGTAAAAATGCTAGCTGTTGAGTTGGAGAGATGGTTCAATGGTTCAGTGGCTTAGAGCACATACTGCTCTTGCAGAGGACCAAGGACCAAGTTTGAGTCCCTGCATTCATGTCAGATGGCTCACTACCACCTGTAACTCCAGCTCCAGGAAACTTGGTGCCCTCTCCTGGGCACCTGCATTCAGCATACGCACATACACACACATACATGCATGCACGCACGCATGCACACACACACAATTAAAAATAAAATAAATCTTTTAAAATGCTCAGCCAGTGAGATGGGTCAGAGGGTAAAGACTCCTGCTCCTAGGAAGCCTGAGGACCTTAGTTCAATCCCCAGATCCCACATGATGAAAGTGGAGAACTGACTTCTGCAGGTTGTCCTCTGACCTCCACATGTGCTCCATGGCACATGCATATAGATATATTCACACACACAAAAAAAAGGAAAAAATGCCCCACCACTGTAGCCCCAGCTGTCCTGGAACTCACTATGTAGACCAGGCTGGCCTTGAACTCACAGGGATCCGCCTGCCTCTGCCTCTGCCTCCCAAGTGCTGGGATTAAAGGCATGTGCCACAATGCCTGGCCATCTTTTTTAAAAACAAGTATTTTAGCTGGGCTACTGGCACATACCTTTAATGCCAGCACACAGGAGGCAGAGGAAGGTGAACCTCTGTGAGTTCGAGGCCAGCTTGGTCTCCATAGTGAATTCAGGCCAGCTGTGGCTACAGGGAGATCCTGTCTCAAAAAGATCAAGAAACAAAACAAAACAAAACAAAAACAAACAAAAACCCCACGCAAACCAAAACAAATTTTATGAATCCCTTGGACTTGGAATTACAGGCAGTTATGATTTGCCGTGGGGTTGCTGGGAATTGAACTCATGTCCTCTGTAAGAGCAATAAGTGCTCCTAACCATCTTTCCAGCTCCCTTTCCTTTTTAAAAAATTTATGTGTACATGTGTGTCTATGTATATGTATGTGCACATATGTGCATGGTGCTTGGGGAAGCTGGAGTTACAGTGGTTATGAGCTGCCCAGTGTGGGTGCTAGGAAACAAGCTCTGGTCCTCTGCAAAAGCAGCTGTTAACTGCTAAGACATTTCTCCAGCTCCAGAATCACCACTTTCTGAGACTGCTCCACATTAGGCTTGTTTCCTGTATGCGATTATGCTGACCGTACATGTGGGGTTGGATTCATTCCCATCAGGCACTATTAAATATTTGAATCTATCCTTGCAGCAACTCTCTATTTTTTTTTTTTTGGTCTTTTTGAGACAGGGTCTCCCTGTAGCCCCAGCTGACCTGGAACTCACTATGTAGACCAGGCTGGCCTCAAACTCACAGAGATCTGCCTGCTGGGGCAACTCTGTTTTTTAAAAAATATTTTATTATTTTTATGTGTATGAGTGTATTGCCTGCCATGTTGTGCAATGCCTGTGGAGGTCAGAAGAGGGTGTTGGATCTCCTGGAACTGGAGTTATAGTTGATTGTTAGCTGCCACTGGGTGCTGGGGATTAAACCCAGGTCTTCTGCAAGAGCAGTTAGTGCTTTTAAGGGCTAAGCCATCTCTCCAGTCCCACAAATCTACCTCTTTTGCCCTTAGAATTATTTAAGGTGTTTTTTGTTTTGTTTTGTTTTGTTTGTTTGTTTTGAGACAGGGCCTTATGTAGCTCAGGATGGTCTGGACTTACTACTTAGCTAGCTATGTGACCTTGAACTCTTGATCCTCTAGGCTCCATCTCCTGTGCCATGCTGAGATTACAGGTTTATACCACAGGCTCAGCTTAGTTTAAAAATCTTTAAACTTCTGAGTGAATGGTGTTTGCTTATATTATAGGTATCTTGCTGAAGTTTTTCTCCCTAGTAAGATTTTTTGTTTTGTTTTCTCACTATGTAGACCTGGCTGGCCTGAAACTTGCTATATAGACCAGGTCTCAAACTCCCAGGTATCTGTCTGCTTCTGCTTCCTGAGTGCTGGAATTAAAGGCATGTGCCATTGCCATCATGTCTAACTTGGTTTTTTGTTTTGGGAGACAGGGTTTCATTATGCAGCCCTGGCTGGCCTCCAGACCAGGCTAAACTCAGACTCAGAGATCTGCCTGCCTCTGCCTCAGAGTGCTTGGATTAAAGGTGTGCACCTTAACCCTGCTGAGCGATGTTTTGTGTTTTTGTTTTTTTGAGTCAGGCTCTCACTATATCTGGAACATGCTATGTAAACCAGGCTTGGCCTCAAAACTTGTGATCATCTTTTCTCTGCCTCCTACACTTAATCTTATCCTAAAAGCAGAGAAGGGATTCTGCTTCCAGAGTGTTGGGGTTACAGATGTCCCCACCAGGGCCAAGTGTAATATTCTTGATAGCAAATACTTTTGCCACATCCAAGACTGACTTCCAGCTGAGGATGGTGGCGCATGCCTTTAATCCCAGCACTTTGGAGGCAGGGGCAGGCGGATCTCTGTGAGTTCAAGGCCAGCCTGGTCTCAATAGTGAGTATAGTGAGTTCCAGTCCAGCTGGGCTACAGGGAGACCCTGTCTCAAAAAGATACACTGACTTCCCTTCATTTTCCAGTTCCTCTAAGACTACTCCACTCAGGCACCGCGGTCTCTGTTGGTTTAGTGGGATGCTGACACCTGCTGGTCACACACAGCTCAGCAGCCCAAGGTCCTACACCTTCTTCCTGAGGGTCCAAAGGTCAGGACAGTCTGTGCCAAACTTACCTGCCAGGCCCTGGAAGATGGTGATATCATATCACTACACCACTCTTTGATTTTCACTCTTTCCCCTATTGACGCCCAACCTAAAAAGTTAGACTTTACATCTTTCTTTCTACAAGAATATTAGGCAACGGGAAAGCAGTTTAGGCAGAGGATGTTTAGCACTTTCTCCCCATCTCTGAGTCAAGTGTTCCCCATAGAATTCTATTCCTTATGACCTTTGTCTTATTTCTAGGTTGTTCTTGGTACATTGGCCTTCTTGGTGACAGTAGTGATGAACCGGAGGTTGAAGAGAGTAGGTAGGCGGGGCTTGGGTGGGGCTAGACCAAAGGGCCTCTACTTAGGAGCTTCTCCATTCTGTTAATTCTTGGGGAACAACCAAGGCAAGACTGGCACCCAGTGCACAGCAGGTGAGAGACTGGCAGTGACAGACCGGCAGGTTTCAGGGTGACAGTACCAGGAGAGCCCTTGACTCAGCCTTAGGCTCTTTCAGCCTTAGCTTTCTTTCCTTATTGTGAAACTTTCACTTGTAGAATTCTTAGGTCCCCACTAGTGCTGTTTTACTGGGTGGGGCAAGGCAGTTCTGAAAGACCAGGGTTGGGTGTAGAGCTGAGGGGTGGAGGTAGGCATTGGTGACAGGATTGAGAGATGTAAGGAAAACTTCAGACATGGAAGTAGATGTGACAGGATGGGTGGGGGTGGCGGGAGAAGACCAGAGCTAAAGAATCACATGGCAACCTAGATGAGAGAAAATGGAGCAAGTAGCAGGGGACATTGAGAGGACAGCAGATCGAACATAAGATGGTAACAGGGGCAGTGGAGAGCTGGGTAACAGGAAGGCCAGGGAGGAAGGAAGGCTCACATGAAGCAATCGCCTCTTCCGGCTGTGGAGTAGGGTCCAACAAACCTCAGGTCAAGCAAGAAACAAATCAAAGTTGTAGGTACCCACCAGGTGATTGAGCTGGGGGAGAAAGCCCCAGGGCTCCCTTTCACCCCTGCCTCTTCAGACTCCTATTTTCATTTTAGGGTGAGGGTGAGGCTGTTCCTCACTGCGGTTACAGCCACATCCTGCAGAGCAGGGGAGGGGGAAGTAAGACGCAAAACAACCAGCAGAACCCCAGGCAAGGACCTGGGAGAGGACCCCGGAGAAACGCAGTGGATGCCACTGGGAGAGTCCTCAGGTTGGCCGGGCCGACTTTAGCCCCTGGTGCTGCCTGCACTGCGGAGGTACCTGCTTCTCATTGGTCCTCAGTGGGCCTCAAACTCACTGGCAGTAGTCCTTGCGGAAAAACAGGTTCTTCTGATTATTTGACTTGAAGCTTTTTCTTTTTAAGATTTATCTTTATCATTTTAAATTATGAGTGTGTGTTTGTGTATGGGAATGTGCATGTGGGTACCTGAAGAGGCCAGAGGCTTGGGATCCCCTTGGAACTGCCAGGTACAGGTGCTGGGAACTGAACTTGGGTCCTCTGCAAGAGCAGTATAGGCCCTTAACTACTGAGCTATCTCTCCAGCCTGGGAAAACCTGTTTTTATCACTTACCAGTGACTTGGGCCAAGCTGCTTAAGCTCTCTTGGCTGTGGTTTTCCCACTGCAAAATAGGCCTTAGGGAGCTGGGAAGACTGAGGCAGGTCACATAGATCTCTTGGCACATAGTAGGGTCTCAGAAAATGCTAATTATCCTTTTAAGGGCTCCTGGAACCCCTGTCTCTTGCTTCTTTGACAGCAACATGGTGTACCTGCTGACATGGGCTTTTGAAGTCACAAAAAGAATTGTGTTTGATCTCAAGCCTCACTTTGCTCTGCTGTAAACCAAGGAGGGTACCAGTTATGCCCCTTGATATATGTAGTTAATGCCTCAAAACAGTAGTTATGAGAGTCCTCTGTCAGGCAGCACTATCCTCTCCACCAGAGTAGCCCATCTGCCTGGAGATTCAACTTGGAGGAGGTTGGCCTCATGGGTACCCACACTCCAGCCTGGGCTCTTGCTACTCTTCTAGCAGTTTGGGAGATCCAAGTGTTCTCAGAGTTTACAGCTCTGAAGGAAAAAGCAGAAGCAAGGCATGGAGGACTGAGGGGGCCCTGGGGAGAAAGAAACCAAAGTAGCAGCAAAGATGGGGAAAAGCCATTTCTCTCTTTCTAAGGAAGCCTATGCCCTCTCTTCTAGTGACTGACCACATACCCACCCTGGACACCATGGAGTCCTTCAGCTCAAAGAGTCTGGCTCTCCAGGCCGAGAAGAAGCTACTGAGTAAGATGGCTGGCCGCTCTGTGGCCCATCTCTTCATCGACGAGACCAGCAGTGAGGTGCTGGATGAGCTCTACCGTGTGTCCAAGGAGTACACGCAAAGCCGGCCCAAGGCCCAGCGGGTTATCAAGGACTTGATCAAGGTGGCTGTCAAGGTGGCCGTGCTGCACCGCAGCGGCTGCTTTGGGCCGGGGGAGCTGGCTCTAGCCACACAGTTTCGCCAGAAGCTCCGGCAGGGTGCCATGACGGCACTGAGCTTCGGTGAGGTGGACTTCACCTTCGAGGCTGCAGTGCTGGCCGGCCTGCTCACCCAGTGCCGGGACACGCTGCTGGAGCTGGTGGAGAACCACCTCACGCCCAAGTCCCATGACCGCATCCGACACGTGTTCGATCACTACTCGGACCCCGACCTGCTCTCCGCTCTCTACGGGCCTGACTTCACTCAGCACCTCGGCAAGATCTGTGATGGGCTCAGGAAGCTGCTGGATGAAGGAAAGCTCTGAGCAGGGAACCTAGTACTCGACCTTGGCTCAACAGTTGACTGGGAAAAAGAAAGATAATGGGCTTTCTAACCCGCTCATCTGTACTAATGCTTTTCAACCCGGGCTTCATTCTCTCCTGGTGCTTTTGACAGAGGCCACCCCCACCCCAAACTGCTGGTGGAGCGATGCGGAGCTGAGTGAGGCCTCTTCCATCCTGCGCCAGCACAGGAAACAGCTGACTGAAAAGGTGAAGTGAAACTTGGATCTGTTTCTCCCAGGGAACCGCCTGAACCAGGGAAGCCTCCACTGACCAGGGGAGGGCCGCAGCCCATGCACTCCCCCTGGAGACACTAACGATCAGAAGGGGGTAAGGCGCTCCTTAGAGACCTGCCGGGTCTCCTAGAGCTGGGGACAGAGCTTGGACACCTCCTGGAGTTGCCAGAAGGAGCTGGGGCAGGGGAGATTCCCAGGGGAAATAAAAGTACTAAAACACGCACAGCACTGGGGTTTAATCTCTTCAGCTTCTGACTCCTCAAGCTCATCACAGGGAAAGGAGGTATAGAAACATCACTTAGCTCACCATTTCCAAACAGGAGACTGAGGTAACTTTCCAGTACTACTGAGGTTCCCTTGCCTATTTCTTCTATTTTAAGAAAAAAACAAACGGTACTACAGATCAGTGCTATAAATTACAGATAAATATGAAGTGAAGAACAAGGCAGAGACAGACAGACTCTGTTGGGGATGTGTAACAAAGAGACTCCCACTAACTGCCCTCCGAACCCCAAAACATCCTCTTCCATCCCTTAGCCCCACCACAGGCTGAGCAGAGGATTGTCAGAAGGGGGAGGTGGTGGGACAGACAGCTCAGTTCCCCATACTGCTGCCTTTTCTCAGAGCCGAGAGTTGTGAAAAAGTTATAGGGAATTGGTTAGCCATGACCAAGCCCATATCCTTTACCTTGAGACTGGGGAAAAGATTTGGTACACTCTACCATTCTCCATGCTGACACTACATCACTGACTCCCCTGTCCTCAACAAGCTGGCTGAGGAGACAGGAAAGATAAGGGGGCCACAGTCCCTGGCTCACTATTCATAGGTTTCCCTCTCTTTACAGATAAAGAAATCCCATTTTTCAGCCAAGAGGAGGGAGTTAGACATAGCAAATAAATATGACTTCAATATAGCACCAAATAAATTAGGTAACATAGTTGGAGATGGGGAGGAAGTTGAAGGGTGTGTCTGCTTCCCTGATTTAAGATCAGGGAATGGTAAAAGTGACAGGAGAGGCAGCAAGGACATAAAAATGAGCCTCTGAACCTATAGGACAATTCTGGATTCAGCCCAAGAACTGGGAAGAGGTTGTTTCCATCCCTTACACTTCCCTAAAGTGCCCCCTGCGGAGGAGTTCTTGATAGACAAAGGGGCTGGGAAGATGGCTGGAGAGTGGTGAGGCAGGCTGGGAAAATGTGCTCTTGAGCCTCACCTCAGGCTCCTCTCCCCCTCACGCTGTTCCTTCAACGCTCTGCTTCTGTCAGTTTTGGGGACATCAGAGTTTAAAGATTTCATCTTCCTGGTCGCGTAGTGTCTGGGTCCGAGAGGTCCGAGTTAGCGGCACAGGACCTAGAACTGCTCGTTGCTGCATCCGAGGGGAGCTTGGGTGGACATCTGCATCCTCCCCAGGTACCCTGCAGGTGAGGAGAGCAGGGAGAGTGACAGATCAAGGCAAGAACATGAAAATGGGCCGAGTGAGAAAGCATAGGGGAAGCTGCCTTCCTTTATTTCATGGAAACATCCTAGTCCAGTGTGCCACTGATTATTAAACATCAGTAAGAGCAGTTAACCAGTTAACACAGAAACCAGTCCCCCACCGCCTCCGCCCACTCCAGCAGCCATGGGCTCTGTTCATTGTCTTCAAAAGGTACCCTCTTGCTTCTGTTGGCACTGTGCTTGTTTGTGAAAAACCGAGAGAGGATGATGTGGAAGAACTTAAAGGAACTACTCAAGACTCACCCGCTTTCCCCTTTTCTCAACTTCTGGGCAGCAGCCTTCTTTGACAGGCTGATCTGTGAGTCAAGCTTCTTCAGGAAATCAGAGGCAGAGAGGTCATGGACGGGTGGGTGGGGTTCCTGAGGTGTGGGGAGGGCTTCACCATTTGTCTGGCCTGAACCTGTCTCTTGATTCTTCTTCTCCAATGAGTGGGAACAAACTTCATCCTTTCTTTGGTGCACTTCTCCCTCTCCATCTTGTTCTTCCTCAGAATCCAAACCATTAAACAGGTCTCTGGGCTCTGTCAGGATGGGGATGTAGAGGGTTTTCTTCAGGAAGATGGAGTCATTAGTATAAAGGCGGTTAGTACGCTTAATCTGTTCCATCTTAAAAAAAAAAAAAAATCACCCAAAATTAACGCCTGACAGTAAAAAAAAAAACCAAAACACCAATCTTAAACAGCATCTTAGGCTTTTTCCTTCTTCTTTTTACTATGTTGTCCAGGTTGGCCTCCAACCACCCCTGGATTAGTAACTTGAGCTTTTATTTATTTATTTTTAAAATATTTTTATTATTTTTATTTTATATGTATGAGTGTATTGCCTGCATATATGTGAGTGCACCCATGTGGTACAATGTCATGGAGGTCAGAAGAGGGCTTATGGATTTCCCTGGAACTGGACTGAAGGATGGTTTGTAGCCACCATGTGGGTGCTGGGAATTGAAGCCGGGTCCTCTGCAAGAGCAGTCAGTGCTCTGAACTGCTGAGCCATCTCTCTAGCCCCCGAACTTTTATTTTTAGTATATGTGTGCTGTATGTATGTAGAGACCAGAGGCTACTGTGCCTTGTTTCTTTATGGGTCCTAGGGATCTAAACTCAGGTCCTCATGCTTGGTTAGCAAGCACTTTTACCAACTAAGCCCTCTTTCCAGCCCAACATCTCTAGTTTTAGGACCTTTTACATTTTTAAAAATTATTGAAGAAGGGGCTGGAGAGATGGCTCAGCGGTTAAGAACACTGACTGTTCTTGCAGAAGATCTGGGTTTGAATCCCAGCACCCACATGGCAACTAACAACCGTCTGTAACTCCAGTTCTAGGGGATCCGACAGCCTCTTCTGTCCTCCGTGGGCATTGCACGACACAGGTGCACTTACCCAGATGCAGGCAATACACACATACACATCAAATAAAAATAATAAAATATTTTTAAAAATTATTGAAGAAGCCTGGTGTGGTTGTACATAACTTTAATCACAACACCAGGAAGCCAGAGGCAGGTGGATCTTTGTGAGAGCAAGGCCAGCCTGGTCTACCCAGGGAGTTGCAAGCCAACTGGGGCTACAGGAAGACTCTGTCTCAAAAAATCAAAACAAAATAAATATAAAAAGTATTGAGGCAAAAAAGCTTTCATTTACTTAGAAGCTACCAAAACCAGGAGTGGTAGCATAAACCTGCAATCCCTGAACTTAGAGGTGGAGGAAGGAGAATCTTAAATTCAAGGTAATTCTTGGCTACACATGAGTTTGTTAGCTTAGGCTACATGAGACCTTTCTCAAACAAAACAAAACAAAACAAGCTACTTGTATTTAAGGTCTTAAAAATTAAATAAATAAATAAATAAAGAGTTCCAGGTTACATGACAACTTCTTCTGACCTCCATGGGCATTGCATGACATGGATACACTAACACATGTGCAAGCAATACACTCATACACCTAAGTAAATAAATTAAATAAATAAATAAATAAATAAATAAATAAATAAATAAAGCTGAGCATCTTTAAGAGTAACAAAGCTGGAGGCTAAGGATGTAGGTCAGTTGGTAGAGTGCTTGCCTAACATGCACAAAGTCCTAGTGTCAACCTAGTTCAACCCTAGCACTGTAAAAAGTACATGGTATCACACATCTATAATCCTAGTACCAGGGAGGAGGCAGGAGGATCAGAAGTTTTAGGTTATCCTTAAGTACACAGAGAGTTCATGGCCATCCTGGCACTGGGGAGGCAGAGGCAGGCGGATCTCTGTGAGTTCAAGGCCAGCCTGGTCTACATAGTGAGTTCCAAGACAGCTGGGGCTACAGGGAGACCCTGTCTCAAAAAGACCAAAAAAATTAAATAAATAAAAATTTTTGAGGTAATATCTCACTATGTAGCACTGGCTGGCCTAGAACTCACAGAGATCCATCTATCTAACTTCTTTCTTTCTTTCTTTCTTTCTTTCTTTCTTTCTTTCTTTCTTTCTTTCTTTCTTTCTTTCTTTCTTTCTTTCTTTCTTTCTTTCTTTCTTTCTTTATATTTTTTCTTTTTTCTTTCTTTCTTTCTTTCTTTCTTTCTTTCTTTCTTTCTTTCTTTCTTTCTTTCTTTCTTTCTTTCTTTCTCTCTCTTTCATTTTCTTCCTTCCCTCCCTCCCTCCTTCCTTTCTTTCAATTTCTTTTTGAGACTGGTCTTATATACCCTAGGCTAGTCTCAAATTCACTACATAGCTAAGGATGACCTTGAATTTCTGATCCTCCTTCTAGGATTATAAGCATGGAACTGGGGTTTTCCAGGGTTATAACAAATTTCCAGTTGGCAGTCACTCAGCCTAGAATGCATGCCTGTGTTCAATCCCCAGTACTTGGGAGTGGGGTGTGGGGGTGGGGTGGAGAAATCTCACAGTATTGCTGATTCCCTGGGTGGCCCAGTTCTTCTCATTTTCTTTTTATTTTCTTTCTTCCTCCTTTTCAAAAATCAGTGTTTGTGTTTTGGATTGAATCCTGCATGTTAGGCAGGCATTCTACCACTGAGCTATATCTTCAACTCAACAGTTCCCTTGGTTTTGCTACATGTAGGTTGACCTGGAACACTCAATCCACTTATCTTAGCCTCCTGAGTGCTAGCATTACATGTATGTGCCACCAAGCCTGGCTTTCAAAAAAAAAAGATTTTTGTGAAATAGATTATGTGTATGGCAGACTTCAGAGATATAAAGCTGAAGAGGGGGGCTAGAGAGATGCTTGCCAGTTATGAGCACTGGCTGCTCTTGCAGAGGACCCAGGTTCAGTTCCCAGCACCCACATAGTGTCTAACAATGGCTCATAACTCCAGTTCCAGGGAATCTGACCCCCTCTTTGGGCTTCCCCAGGCATTGTAGTATGGGTGTGCTTACATACAAGCAGGTAAAACACTCATAATACATAAAATAAATATAAATAAAATTTTTATTAAAGTTGAAAAGAAACTATTTCTACTCCAAGGAGTATGTAGACTGTTGGAAGATAAAGATATAAATAACTATATTACATATATTTTTAGACAGAGCTGAGGAAAAAAAAGTTCCTAAGTCTCTAAAGCCCATAGTAATGGTACCTTAAAAATTGTACTAGTTGCTGGGCGTGGTGGCACACGCCTTTAATCTCAGCACTTGGGAGGCAGAGACAGGCAGATCTCTGTGAGTTCAAGGCCAGCCTGGTCTGCATAGTGAGTTCCAGGCCAGCTGGGGCTACAGGGAGACCCTGTCTCAAAAAGATCAGAAAAAAAGAAATGTACTAGTCGGGGGCTGGAGAGATGGCTCAGCAGTTAAGAACACTGTTCTTGCAGAAGACCTGAGTTTGAATCCCAGCACCCACATGGCAGCTCACAACTGTTCATAACTCTAGTTCCAGTGCATCCGACAGCCTCTTCTGTCCTCTTTGGGCATTGCACAACATGGGTGCACTTACCTACATGCAGGCAATATACACATACACAGAAAATAAAAATAATAAATAAAATATTTTTAAAAAATCATACTAGTCAGACATGGTGGCCTATGCCTTTAAACCCAGCCCTTGGGAGGCAGAGGCAAGGAGTTCTGTGTCAGATGGAGCCCAGTCTGGTCTACACAGTAAGTTGCAGGCCAGCCAGGGCTACATAGTGAGACTCTGTCTCAAAACACACACACACACACACACCACACACACACAAATCTGTATTAACAGAGTGTGGTGGTTTATACTTGTAATCTCAGCACTCAGGAGGCTGAGGCAGAAGATTGTAAATTACAGGCTAGTCCTGGGCTAGTGACACCCTGTACTAATATCCATTCCTGCTCCCTTCCAAGCAAAAATCTTGGTTCTCATTTCCCATGCCTTGTTTATTTTCAGCCACCCCCTTATTCTTTGTATAATCATTGTTTCTTCTCTATTTTGCACTGGACTTGAAATTACATGAGCACAGCAATCATGCATTCATGCTACATCTCCAGAAAGAATTACCATAATGCATTAAGCACAGCAAGCACAGAAATATTGCCTAAATTCAACATTTGTTTGTATCCAGTATAATAGGGGTTGCATCAGCTTTAACCAAGAAGATTTACACCCATCAAACCTCTCCTAGTATGACCTAGAATACTAGTTAAGTAAAGAACCTGTTTTGTGCCTTATTGCAAAGAAAACAGATCCCCAAAGAGTAAATAAGAACTAGAGACAGGCACTTCAGGAACTTAGAACTAGAAACCAGCTCTTCCTTACTTGCTGTAAATGTTTAATCACTCTCAAAAATTTTCTACATGGCTATAAGTCTCAGCTTTGGAGTCAAAGAGACATTTTTGAAAGTGAATTATTTTCTTTTTCTTTTTTTTCTTTTTGGTCTTTTTGAGACAGGATCTCCCTGTAGCCTAGGCTAGCCTGAAACTCATTATGTAGACCAAGCTGGCCTTGAATTCACAGAGATCCACTTGCCTCTGCCTCCCAAGTGCTGGGATTAAAAGTGTGCACTACCACACCCAGCTGAATGTGAATTCTGACTCAAGTTATTTGACCTTGATCAAACTGGTTAGCCAATCTTAAGTATCGGGTTGATGGGGATGTGAGGTCCAAACAGGTTAATGGATGTATAGAATGGTGCTGCTCCCCTCCAATGGGATAGTCGGACAGATCTGTCCCAATCAGGCAGTGCAAACTCCAAGACGGAAAAACAAAATAGAGACAAAACAGACCACAATATAATTAAGATAATGTCAGGGGAGGTTGCTTAGCGGGCCACCCACATTCCCCTGAGGATTAAATCGCTCCTAAATGGTCATCACACCCCAATCCTGGAAGACTTACCGTCACCCCGTATTTGAGTGCTAGTCCAGCCAGGGTGTCTCCAGGCTCCAACTGATGTTCCAGGCGTCTTTCCCTCACTGGTGAGCAGGCTGATTGTACAAGGCTTCCATAAGAACGAGCCCGGCTCCCTTGCAGCAGCCCTGACCCCCCGGGTGGGGGCTGTCTAGAGGGAGAGGCCATCTCTTCAAGCTGCCAAGACCTTGGCTTACAATTGAGGACGGTCCAGCTGGGTGACAGTGGCGGCAGAATTTAGGGAATGGATATCCAGGGAATCCTTTCCTCCTCCTTCTCTCTAAATCGCCTCGCCCTCCAGGGACTACACCGGTCTCCCTTTCCTTGCTGCTTCTGTTACCGAACTTGAGGTCACTAATTGCACCCTAAGAAATCTGCCCGGCTGGCTACACTTCTCCCTCAAGCCCCTTATTCACAAATATATCCCCTGAGAATGCAGTGGCTGAATCTCCCCTTAAGACCCCACGCCAACTCCTCCCTACCCTGATCTCTGACTTTTGAACTCGGCACCCCCTCGTTAACACTCTTTCCTCGGTTCGTCCCCAGCTCCGGCGGCCGAGAGCCCCCACATCCAGACTCTGCTCGGCCTGGGATTCTCCTGCTAGGGAAAGGTACAGATCAGGCCCACCCCAGGCAGGCTGTGGCTGCAGGCGATGTGCGGGAAGACTGCGAGAGTTTGTAGTACACTTTCCACCCCGAGATCCTCATAGGCACGCTCGGCAACAGACAGGTACCACCCTCAAACGTGGACTCCACATACAGGTTTCTGAGGCTCCAAGCACCTCGAATCTGCCAAGGTGCGAGGGCCTGGGTCCAGCTGAGCGGCAAGCTTGTGGAAAAAACCAAAAAGACTTCATTTCCCAAAAGGCACTGCGTCGGTGGGTCGCAGAGCGCCGTAGGAAATGCAGTCCCCTGAGGGCGCTGGAGGCAGGCCTTCCGGATCGCGCACTATTTGCGTAGAAACGCTTCCCCGGAAGTACAGACTCAACCGGAAAAAGACCGCCAGAAAGTAAGGAGATACCCTACTCTTCCTACGGTGGCCTGAAGGAGCGGCGAAGTTCACATAGGAGAACTTACCATTTCTAGGACTCCCAGTCGTGATGTCTTTCAAGAGAGAAGGGGACGATTGGAGTCAGCTCAATGTGCTCAAAGTAAGCCCTGGAGGAGAGGTCTCACCGGCTTCAGCCGCCCTGTGAGGGCTGCGAAGCAGCTTTGTTTTGTTGCTCTGGCAACAGCTGGGGGGAGGGAGGAGTTAGAGGACCAGAACGGAGTAGTGACCGCTTGTTTTAACCTATGATCTTCATGGCTCCTTTCCATTGTCTCCCTTTCCTTATTGATCCCCTTTCATCTGCTCCTCCTACTTATTCCTCTGATCTTGTCTGAACTTTTTTCCCTGTCCCCTGCAGAAACGAAGAGTTGGAGATTTGCTGGCCAGTTACATCCCAGAGGATGAGGCGCTGATGCTTCGGGATGGACGGTGAGGGCGAAGAGTGAAGCCTAGGGATTCTCCCGTCAGAGACTTGATAAACTTTTGTTACTAAGGAAATCAGGAGTATATAGGATTCTTTGGCGGGAAGTAAGGATCGAGGGACCTGGGAGTTGGCCTTTGGAAAGAATGCTATGACAGGTGTGGGACCTGCTCACCATGGTAGGAGTCCCTCCAGTGCATGCACACCCACCCACCCACACTCCAGCTTACCATTCTCTTCTCTTCCCCAGCTTTGCTTGTGCCATCTGCCCCCATCGACCGGTCCTGGACACCCTGGCCATGCTGACTGCCCACCGTTCAGGCAAGAAACATCTGTCCAGTAAGTATGGAGGGGATACAAAGGATAGAGAATAAGCTCTTGAAATTTTTGCAAATCATTGGTGCTATGTTTTAAATTATCTTTCCTCATCTCAGGTCTGAAGCTTTTCTATGGTAAAAAGCAGCAAGGAAAGGGAACAGAGCAAAATCCAAGACAGCAGAATGAATTGAAGGAAGAGACCAAAGCTGAGGTGAAGAGAGAGGGGGGTGGGTGTCCCTCAGGCAGGATTGTGTTGCACACAACAGGCTTGAAGGGCTTTTTGCTTCTGATGGCTCTGACTCTGTTTCTCCTCTATACCAGGCTCCTTTGCTAACCCAGACTCGACTTATCACCCAAAGTGCTCTGCACAGAGCTCCCCACTATAACAGTTGCTGTCGTCGGAAGCACAGGTCGGTGGGATGGGAAAGCCAGGGGTGGGAAAGGACTGAAGGAAATGGATGGTTCTGAAACCATTGTTCACCAAATTGTATTCTGAGAAATACTAATACCGTAGAGGTGCTATTTAAGGGAAAAAAAATTTATGGTTTTAAAATGATTTTTAGGAAATGGAGCATGATAATCCTACTTAAAGAATAAGATAGTGCCGGGCGTGGTGGTGCACGCCTTTAATCCCAGCACTTGGGAGGCAGAGGCAGGTGGATCTCTGTGAGTTCAAGGCCAGCCTGGTCTACATAGTGAGTTCCAGGACAAATGGGGCTACAGGGAGACCCTGTCTCAAAAAGACAAAAAAAAAAAAAAGGATAACTAAGGGCTGCTGGGCGAGGTGGCGTACGCCTTTAATCCCAGCACTAGGGAGGGAAGCAGAGGCAGGCAGATCTGTGAGTTCAAGAGATCCTGGTCTACATAGTGAGTTCCAGGACAGCTGGGGCTACAGGGAGATTCTGTCTCAAAAAGACCCCCCCCTAAAAAAGCTAAGGGCTATGCATGGTGGCACACACCTTTAATCTCAGCACTGAAAAAACAGAGGCAGGTAAGTCTTTGTGAGTTTGAGGCCAGCCTGGTCTACAAAGCAAGTTCCAGGCTAGGCAAGGTGAAATTGTGAGACCCTGTCTCAAAACAACAATGATGGAGTCTGGAGAGATGGTTCAGTGGTTAAGAGCACATACTGCTCTTTCAGAGGACCCAAGTTTAGTTCCTAACACCCATGTCAGGGAGCACATAACTCCCTGTAACTTCCTCTTTGGACTTTTGAGGGGACCTGCACTCATGTGCACATACCCATACACAGACACACACAGGTACACATAATTAAGAAAAATAGGGCTGGAGAGATGGTTCAGCAGTTAAGAACACTGGTTGTTCTTGCAGAAGAGCTGGGTTTGAATCCCAGCACCCATGTGGCAGCTAACAACTGTCCGTAACTCCAGTTCCAGGGCATCCAACGGCCTCTTCTGTCCTCTGAGGACATTGCATGACATGGGTGCACTTACCTACATGCAGGGAATACACTGATACACATAAAAATAATAAATAAAAATTAAAAGTTTTTTTAATTAGAAAAAAATAATTAAGCTAGGCGTGGTGAATGCCTTTAATCTCAGCACTTGGGAGGCAGAGGTGAGTGGACCTCTGTGACAGACCTTGTCTCAAAAAGAACCCCCCCCCAAAAAAAGACAAAGAAAAAGAATTAAAAACAACAAATCAATAAAATAGCATAGCCAAGAGTGGTGGCTCACACCTGTAATCTAAACACTTGGGAAGAATCTAAACACGGGGAGACAAGTTTGAGGTCAGCCTGGCCTATAGTGTAAGACCAAAAGAGGGACTGGAGAGATGGCTCAGCAGTCAAGCACTCTGGCTGCTCTTGCAGAGGACCCAGGTTTGATTCCCAGCACCTACACGTTGGCAAATAACCATCTAAAACTCCAGTTCCAGGGTATTGGAAACTGTCTTCTGACCTCTGTGGGCATTACATGACACAAGTGTACTTATACACATGCAGGCAATACACTCATACACATAAAATAATAAATGAAAGTACACCATGTGTAGGCAGTGCTGAGGGATACCAGGAGAGGGTATCGGATTTCCTAGAACTGCAGTTATGGACAGTTGTTAGTCACCATGTAGGTATTAGGAACTGAACCTGGGTCCTCTGCAAGAGCAGCCAGTGCTCTTAACCACTATGTCATTTCTCCAGCCTCTTTTTGTTTTTGAGTCAGGGTCTCACTATGTAGCCCTGGCTGACTTGAATTCCTTATGTACACCATGCTGGCCTAGAACTCACAGAGATCCTGCCTCTGCCTCTCAAGTGCTAGAATTAAAGGCAGGAGCCACCAAAAATTAAAACTTAAGTTAGCTTTTACCAAGTTCCGCAGTTCAGGAAACTGCTCTGAGGGGTTGGGAGTCATAGGAAAGTTGGTGCTTTCTTTTATTGCTTTTACAGGCTTTGGTTCTTCTCTATCCAGACCAGAAACCTCTGGTCCCTCCGTCTCCCGTTCCTCTTTGCCAGCACCAGAGGTCAAAGTCCAAAGTGGGAAGATTAGTAGGGAACTTGAGCCTGCGGCTGGCCTACAGGCCAAGGAGTCACCAGCTCGCTCAGACTCTGAACCCGTGAGCCCCACAAGAAGACAAGCTCTGGATCATTACCTTACCCTTCGAAGGTGAGTTTGCTAAATCACTTTCCTCAGATTTTCTCTTTTTTCCCTGACCCCCTGTTTTCAAACCCCTTGTCAAAGATTTTATTTAATTTTTTTACATGTTTAAGTGTTTTGCCTACATGTATTTAAGTATACCTATGTCATGCAGTGCCCACAGAGGACAGAAGAGGGCATTAGAGCCCCTGGAACTGGAGTTAGGGATGATTGTTAGCTGCCATGTGGGTGCTGGGAACCAAATCCAAGTCCTCTGCAAGAGCAGCTAGTACCACTGAGCCATCTCTCCTGCCTGAAACTTCCTTTTTTTTTTTTTTGAATTCTTAAAATAAATTTATGGCTTATTATCATTAAATTTTTATATATCTATTTAAACCTTTTCTTAAAAAATTATTTATTTATTTATTTATTTATTTATTTATTTATTGGGGCGACTCATGTGGAGGTCAGAGGACAATTTATGGGACTTAGTTCTCTCTTTCTACCATGTGGGTCCCAGGGATTGAACTCAGCCACATTAACCTGCCAAGTGTGGTAGTGCATGCCTTTAGTCCCAGCACTCCGGAGGCACAGGCAGGTGGATCTCTTGAGTTCGAGGCCCGCCTGGTCTACATAGTTCAAGGCTACAGGAAGACCCTGTCTCAAAAAGACAAAAAAAAAACAAAAAAAACTAAAAATCAAACAAAAACTCTATCCTGACCAATTCTGTTTCCTCTAATGTTTCTAGCTCTGGATGGATCCCAGATGGACAAGGTCGATGGATAAAAGATGAAAATGTTGAGTTTGACTCTGATGAGGAAGAACCCCCGATCTTCCCATGGACTAACACCCTCTTTTCCCATTCATTTCATAAATAAACTACAGTGGGTGCTAGGAGCCTAACCTTCCTCAAGTCGGGTTCCTTGATCAATCTCAGGATTTCAGATTTGTTCATTTGCAACATGGCCAATCCTTTCCTGCAATGTACACAGCTCCCCAAACTCCCAACCCCTCCCCCACCTTCTACCAAAGTCTTGCCAAGCGTCAGCTGCATGCAGCCCGGTGCCCTATTAATAAGTCTGTCAGAAAGAGGTCTTTGCCCTTCATATTGTGTGTCTCCTTTACCACCTCCACTAAAATCCTTCCCTCTTCAAATCACACTTGGGTTATGGTAGGCACTCAGGGGCTCTGGTCACCTCTAGAAACAGGTCTTACGCCAAATAACCCATGAAAGTTGAAAAGACTTAAAGCTTTGGCCGATTTATTGGGAACACCAAGGGACAGAGCTTCCCCACCTCCTCCTAGTAACCTGAACCTCCCTGCCTGCTGATCCCCAGAGTATAAATAATCCCTTGATGAACTGGCAGTAACCCTTGGGATTTAGCGCCAAGATTCCCACCCCAAAGCCCAAGGAAGAAGGCAGGCGGCATGAACAAAAGGGACTTTATTTACAGGAAAGGGGTGAGATGAGGATTTACATGTCGGGCACTCATCTGGTTGGTAAAAGGAAGAGTGATGTTATCTCTTCTTTTGCTGGCGACCTGTAAAGGAGGAACATAAATACAACTCCATGTCTTATTTTGGGCAAAGGCGTTCCTCTTCCATTTCCTTAGCCAGTCTGGTAAGGCGGTAGTGCCTTATGCCACCCGACAGGCCCATCCCATGTTAACAAAATAAAACAAAAACACACCTGACAATAAAAACACATGCCTAGTTTCCCTCCCACAGCCCTGTTGGTGTGTATTTGGCAGAGAAGGGCTTTTCTATTTCCTGCTCCCTCAGCTTCATGTGTGTTTGGCAACCACCCAAACTGTTTATCATGAATTCTACTTTCAGGAGGATATACCCAGCATTTGTGCCTCCTCTACACACCAGGTCCGCAGTTACTCACGTAGTTCATTGTTCCGAGTCATGGCCTGGGCTGCCCGAGCTCGTGGTCCTTGTTGTGTAAAGTGGTAGCCAAAGCGGACAATAGAGGGACACTGCTCAAGCACGGTGGCCATTTCCATCTCCACTGCATCACCAGGCCACTGGCGCTAGAGGATGGAATAGTGAAAGCTATTAGATACCTCTGGTTATTTATCCCAGACCCCAGGCCCCTTTGGGACATTAAGGGGGCTATTTCTTGCTGGGTGTGATGATGCACACCTTTAATCCCAGCACTAGGAGAGACAGAGATAGGCAGATCTCTGTGAGTTCTAGGCCAACCTGGTCTACATAGTAAGTTCCAGGCTAGCTGGAGCTACAGGGAGACCCTGTCTCAAAAAGATCAAACAAAAAAGCGTTATTTCGTGAGTGAGAGAAGAGAGGTGTTGACTTGCTTGGCTCCCTCACAGAGACAATAAAGGTATGCAAACAAAATCAAGGGAACTAGCTGCCCCCATGGAAAGCCCCAGTGGGTATTAGATCAGGGAAAAGAATGCTGACCTGGTTATCTACACGGAGCTCAGTGAGAGTGGCATTTTCCCGAACTGCCTTTAGCACAGCCATGAGCCCTGTGCTGCTAATGAAGTTGGATTCGATGTTCAGGCTCTGGAGACTGCGGTTCTCACGCAGCATGTCAGCCACTGCCTGGGTAGTAAGGACATGTGTTAGAATTAGGGGACAATTTCATAGATGACTGAGCAAAGAACAGGAGCAAGAGGGAAACAGCTCTTTGAGATTCCCTGGGGAGCTGTGAGGCTAGAGGGAGATAGAAGTGGGGTGTCAGTGGAAGCAGGACAGTTAAGGGCACAGTGGAGTTGGGAGTATGGTCTTTGGGGAAAATGATTTCAGAGTTGTGAGACAGAGGAGTAGGGCTGGGGGTTGCCAGGAAGGCTGATGGGAATAGCACCCCCCTCCAGTACAACCATTAAAGGTAACCCTACCAGGGGTGCACATCAAAGTATGGGAAGAAGACTGGGGATGTCAACTGGCCTTACATTGGCGATGGGGTCACCACTCTTTGTGGCCACCAGACTGAAGCTCCGGACATAGGTGTTTGCCTTCATTGCTTCACACAGCTCACTTAGCATCGGTATCGGGATGTCCTAAAGGAGTCACAGGAGATAGAGGACTAAGGACCCTCCTGTCTGCAGTTACCCCTCTGTTAACTAATTGGAAGATGGAAGCCAAATACCTGTATGTTATTGAGGTTCACCTCCTCCAGCTCTTTGTCATTGCTTCGAACCCTCTTTAGCATCTCCTCGATGTTTGTGGGATTTGGGGGTTCATCTGGCACTGGTTTATACTTGTCAGGCTGTACCACACCTGAGGGAGTAAAAGCAGGAAGGGAACCCCAACATGTCCTCTACCATCTCCCAATTGGTTCCCTGATCCCTCATGTAACACGTCCCCCATGTCTCACGCCTCCTCTCAGTCTCTGGGACTGGCTGTCCAGAGCCCTAGGGGAGAGAGGTATGTTTCCCCAGCATGCTCACTTACTGCTAATGCCTTCGGTGTTGCAGATTTCTCCACTGCAGATGGCATCGTAGTATTGCTTGTTGCTCATCAGTGTGTACATGCCCAGAATTGCTGTTGAGGGTAAACAGAGGGGCACACAGAATAAGGGGCCTGTTCCAATCCTGCCTCCTACCTCACTGTGCCACAGCAGTTTGACAGCCTGACCCCTTCCACTCTTATAAAGTCTTTCACCCTCCCTCAGCTCTAGGAGTCTCTTCCATAAACTTCCCAAGACGGGGATTTCTAAAACATAAGACAGGGTTTAGGGAAGGCCCCTACAGAGCCACTAGAGGAGGGGCATCCTTAGAGGAGACCCTCTGCTGATTTCAGCCAGAATATCTCCACTTTCATTTACTTTCACAATCCCTATAAAATTGTCCCCGAGATGCTAACTTATTAAATTTAAAAATGAGTGAATATAAGCCAGGTGTGGTGGTACACACCTTTATTTCCAGCACTCAGGAGGCTGAGGCAGGCAGATCTCTATGGGATCAAGACCAGCCTGGTCTACATAGAGAGTTCCAGACCAGCTGTGGCTACAGGGAGACTGTCTCAAAAAGAAAAAAAAAATCACTGCCTGAGGCCTTTTTGGATATCCATGTTCTAGTTCAGGCCTTTCCTACTAGTCCCGTGTTAAGATAATGATGCTACAACCCCTGGTCCACTTGCCTTCCTCAACTTCCCACAGCTGCCTACCTGCAATGTCACACATTTCAGCATCTGTAGCATGGGATAATGCCTCTTCCAGCTCGGGTTCCAAGGTAATCTGTTCCTGTGCTGGGATTTCTCTCTTGGGCTGAATATAGGGTTTCCCTGACAGGGAGATGAAAAATGATTCAGGAAGAGGTCATTTCTTCCAAGACCTTGGCCTCTACCTTCCTTCCCTTCTCCATGTGGCATACCATGTGCCATCTACCTATCTATCTATCTATCTATCTATCTATCTATCTATCTCTATCTATCTATCTATCATCTATCACCTATCATCTTCATCAGTCATCCATTTATGTATCATGTAGGCATCTGATATCTATCTATCTATCTATCTATCTATCATCTATCTATCATCTATATCTATCTATCTATCTATCTATCTATCATCTACCATCTATCTTTCTTCTATCATCTATTATCTATCATCTATCTATCATCAATCATCTATCTATCACCTATCTATCTATCATCCATCTATCTTTCTTCTATCATCTATTTCTATCTGTCATCTATCTATCTATCATCTATCTATCTATCTATCTATCTATCTATCTATCTATCTGCCTACCTACCTATCTATCTATCTATCATTATCTCCATATGTATATCCATGTGTTATAACACTGGATCATGAGGGGTACATCAGAAGGACTAAATTCTCTATCAGCTCAGGACTCCCCTGACTCCCTTGATCTTGCATAAAAACTGAAGAGCGCAGGTTGTTGTAGTGGCATAAGTCTGCAATACCAGCACTTGGAAAGCCTAAGCAGGAAGATTGCCCCCAAAACAAATTGAAGAGTACAAACTGGCAAACAGGTGTCTAGGAGCTGCGTTCCTGGACAGGTCGTTGTCAGAAGATGAAAGGGAAATTAATGGGGAGGCATAAGAGACAGCTGTTTGGTTTCTGAGAGGCATGGATGTTAAGGTGTCCATACCCTTCTTCTCGCCTGTGAAGGGCACCAAGTCATCACGCTCTTTGACGTCTAGCGCCTGTTGCTCCAGGTACTGCAATAGGGCATCTCGATCCAGTGGCCCAGTTGGGCTCTTTTTTGTCTGGTCACGTTGTCTTAGTCCAGCTGGCAGGAGCATGTTCTTAGGGATAGTTTTGAGGAGCAAGTCAGGTATTCTTGAGTACTTCCAGAGTTCCCTAAAACATCTCCAGATGCCTTTTCCCTGGCCCTCTTGGGATTCCAGGCCGTTAGTGGCCCTGGTCTCAGCCTCCCAGAGCCCAGTACCCTTCCCAAATATGTGAAGACTGCCCCTGGTCCCTGTGCTGGTGCCCTACCTCAGGGTCCATTTCCTGTAGTTCACAGTCCAGCTGTTCTAGCTCCTCTGGGCTCAAGGTCCTTAGGATCTCGTCTTCATCTATATCTCTATACTTCTCCAGTTCCTTCTGATACGACGACATGGTGGCCCCCACCCCCTCCCCACTGTGTGACACTCACAGCCTGGAGGAATACAGGAAAAGTTGTATTTGGAAAGTTGGACATGGACACAGTGAGGACACAGAGATCAGCCAGAGTTAGAACATTGAACTAGACTTGGAGGTTAGAGGTCTAGTTGGGGATGGAAAAGTTAGCTTGTTTACAGTTAGAATTAGTCTCCTTTATTCCCACAGTTTGTAGCCATTCTGGATGGGGCTCCCAGGACCCAAACTGTATTTGTCCTCTCACTGTATGATGGTGAAATCCTGGCAACACCCTCCCCTACAACCTTACCCATCAGTGCCTCTTGCCCTAACACAGCTGCTGGAAGTTCTGCCAACATAGCTGGCTCCATGCCCAGTTCCTATTGAAAGGTGGGAGGGGGTGGCAGAGAGCTTCAGGAAAATTCCTCTTCTCTTCCCCATTATCCAGACTTTTCTTCTATACTGCTTAAGCAAGGAAGATTGTCTAGGGTGAAGCAGCAATCTCTTATGATTTCCTTTTTTATTGTGGGGGACCAAGCTCTCACTTTCTGTGTTTGCTAAAATTCTAAATCCTAAGGGTAAGTAAGGCTTCCAGATTGGGGGAAGGGCAGTATGGTCTCAGAAGGAATTGAGTCCCCATAATCTGTCACCAGGAAGGTGACACTAGACCAATGAGTGAAAAATGCCTCCTAAACCAAGTAATTTCTCTAAAAACAGTCGGACAACTAAACTTGCATAATCTTACAATATAAAAAATACACACAAGCTCTGCATACACACCATACACACCATGCTTAATGTGGAAGATCCTGAAAGTGAGACGCACATTGACAACATAAACTATGCAGTCAAGACAGGAAAGTGGCAGAAATGTACACAAAGTGACAGAGGCAGAGACATACTTCATATTACCCCCCTGTAAGGGCCATTCTTCCCCCATTTCCCTCCAGTCTCTCACCCCTCCTCTCCCACCTACCAGTTCTAATTGCCACTTCTCACCTTCCCTTGTCAGTTGGTCCGTCTGTTCTACTGGGGCACTGTCGGGACAGCAGGAGGAGCCCGGTGCCGGGGGAGAGGGTGGGGGAACAGTGAGCTCAGCATTTTATTATTTTAGCTCTGGCCAGGTGGGGAGTAGTGGGAGATCACATATACACAGCCCCCATACCTTGCCCAGCCCTGAGAGCCTCTAGTGGCCATTACCAGCCATGACACCTGCTCCTCTTTTCCTACTCAGTATCCAGTGGAGAATCCAATGGTTCCTAAGATACCTGCTACATTCAAAGAAGAATATAAGGTGGTATGTCAATGTAGCCAGGTATAGTGGCTCATACCTGTAATCCCACAATTTGGGAGGCTGAGGCAGGACTGCTGCAAGATTAAGAGCAGCATGAGCTACATGTTAAGTTCAAAGCAGCCTGGGATACATAGCAAAACTTAAGAAATCGAGGTGCCTAGAGAGAAGGCTCAGTGGTTAAGGGTGCTAGCTGCACCATCATGAGGACTGGAGTTGAGATCCCAGCACCCATACAAGCTGGGCATTTTACATATGCCTATAACCCCAGCTCTATGGGGTACAGACAGGATTGCTGGAGGTTTGCTGGCTTCCAGCATAGCCCAGAATATGTGAACCCCAAGTTCAGGAAAAAACCCTGCCTCAAAATAGGTCTAGTGACTGGACCGTTTGGCCTCTGTACATGTACATACATATGTGAATACATTCAGTCACACATGAATGAAATTTTTTTTTTGTGGTCTTTTTGAGACAGGGCCTCCTTGTAGCCCCAGCTGGCCTTGAACTCTTCAGAGATCCACCTGCCTCTGTCTCCCATGTGCTGGGATTCAAGGTGCATGCCACCATGCCCAGCCCTGAATGGGTATTTTTTAAAAAGTTAATATGGGTCTGGAGAAATGGCTCAGCATGTAAAGGCACTTGCTTAAGCCTGAGGACTTTAGTTTGATCTCTGGGACCCACATGATGGGAGAAATGAGCCTACATCAGAAAGTTGTCCTCCAATTTCCACCACTTGTATGCCATGGTGTGATGACACACGTACCACACACATGCACATACACAAATAAATGAAATAAACTTTAAAAAAAGGTCCGTAAAAGGATTTTATCTAACTTAAGTTTTTCAACTACTTTTGAATTAAATATGGATGCCTCCCGAGTGTTGGGATTAAGGGCGTGCACCACCACGCCCGGTGACAAAATGTATCTTTAAAAAAATAAAAAAAGCAAGCTGGGCGTGGTAGCACACGCCTGTAGTCCCAGCACTTGGGAGGCAGAGGCAGGCGGATCTCTGTGAGTTCAAGGCCAGCCTGGTCTACATAGTGAGTTCCAGGACAGCTGGGGCTACAGGGAGACCCTGTCTCAAAAAAGACAAAAAAAACCCCACAAAAAAAGCAAAAACAAACACAATTGGGGGTGTAGCTCTGTGGTAGCATGCTTGTGTAGCATGAACAAGGCCATGTGTTCAATTCCAGGACAACAAACAAAACAAAAAACCAAATAGACAAATACACTCAACCCATTCATAAAAGGGATCTAATTTATTAGATTAAAAAAGGCAACAAAACCAGAAAGAACTAGGGGAAAAGATGGTGAAAGAAATACAGAAGACTGAACAAAGATCAGAGGGGCATGGTGAGGAGCAGGGAGAGGAGAGGAGAAGTCAAGAGCTCCAGGTCAGGGGAGGAAGATTTCCAAAGACCAGACATCTCTTTATTTGATGACAATTTTCTGGCGCAAGGCTCGGGGCCCAGAGCCAGGGAGTGGCTCAGGAGGTGGTGGGCCAGGGCCTAGGGCTGAGGCAGTGGGTGGCAGTCCATGGGCAGTGATGTATTTCTTGTAGGCCTCACGAATGATCTTGAAGGCTCGAGCAGTGGCATAGGGTATGTCTGTAACAGGGTCCCGGTACAAGGCTGGACGATGGGTCACTGGGCAGACCTCTCGAACAGGAACCTTTGGGGGTCGCCCCTGGGGGAACCATTCCTCAAATGTTGCATCATCACTAAATGTGATGAAGGTACGTGAGCAGCGAGAAGGAGGGATGGCAGGCCCAGTCCCAGCATGCGGAGTCAATGCAGAAGCTGTGGGTGCAGGATCAAGTCTGAGGGCAATAGACAAAAAAAATAAATAAATAAATAAAAAAAAATCACAAGGAGAGGAGGAAAAGTCAAGAGACAGAGAAAGAAGTCAGGCTAGGTGTGGTGGTTCATGCCTGTAATCTCAGTATTCAAGAAGCCAAGGTAAGAGGATTCCCGAGTTCCAGGCCTGCTGGAGGTACACAATGAATCCTCATCTTAAATAAAACAAAATGCTGGGCACTGTAGTATACATCTATAATCTCAGTGCCTAGGAGGTAAAGGCAGGCAGATCACCAATTCCACACTAGCCTGAGTTACATGGTGAGTTCCTGACTAGCATGGGTTGCAAGGTGAATTCTAGATTAGCCTGGGTTAATAGCATGAGGCCATTTCAAGAAAACAACAACAAAAAGTGAGCTGGGGCTAGAGAGCTAGCTCAGCAGTTAAAAGCACATACTGCTCTTTCAGAAGACCCAAGTTCACAACCACCACACGGGCCAGCTCACAATCACCAGTAACTCCAGCTCCTGGAAGATCCAGTAACTCCAGCTCCTGGAAGATCCAACTCCTCTGGCTCCCTTGGGTACCTGCACTTGACTGTACATACCCACACACATATACACATAATGAGACATAATTAGAAATCAAAATATATCTTAGGCTGGATGTGGTGGTGCATGTCTTTAATGCCAGCACTGTGGGAGGCAGAGGCAGATGGATCTCTGTGAATTCACATACATAGGAAGTTCCAGGTCAGCTGGGGCTACAGGGACACCCTGTTTCCAAACACAAAACAAAAAATGAGAATGAAATCTGTAAGGTGAGCAGGCATGTCATCTCTAAAAGGAAAGTCAGTGAAGTGGGGCCAGGAAAGCAGAGCCAATCGACTCACCCTTCTACGTCCACATTCTCTTCTTTGGGGCCAGGCTCCCCAACAAGCGGCACCGTCACTGAATGGTAGGTGATGACTGGCCCAGGGCACTTCCGCTTCTTGTGAACCTGCTTCTTTTTGTCAGCCTCAAGTCGTTCATATGTCTCTTCAGGAGCAAAAGGAGAAATGAGGGATAGCCAGTTTCTCCTCTTCCCACACTCTAGCCGTCCCATGATTTTCTAAACATTTAAATTACATTTACTTATTTTTATGTGTGTGGTTGTGTGTGCACGAGAGAGAGAGAGAGAGAGAGAGAGAGAGAGAGAGAGAGAGCGCGAGAGCGGGAGAGGCATGTAGAGGTCAGAAGACAATTTGCAGGTGTCAGTTTCTTCTTCTACCATGTGGGTCCCAGGGATTGAACTCAGGTCATCAGGCTTGGCAGCAAGCACATTTCTCTGCTGAGCCATCACACCAGCCCCTGTCCCACGATCTTAATTATATATCTAATCACTACCAATCACCCAGGTCAACTATGGAAGTCCTTTCTTCACATATTCTTGGGTCCCCAGCCACTCAGAACCTGAAGGATCTCAAGTAGGAAGATTCAGAGAGTTTATGATGAGGAAAAATCCATTCATTTCCCAGCATATATTAAAATCTCCTCTATGGAGCTAGAGAGATAGATAGCTCAGCAGTTAAGAATGCTGGCTGTTCTTGCAGAAGACCCAAGTTCAAATCACAGTGCTGGCTAACAACATCCATAATTCCATTTCCAGGGACTTTGATGCCCTCTTCTGTCCTTTGTGGGCACTGCACAACATAGGTGCACTTACATATACACAGGAATAACATTTATACACATTAAATAAAAATTCCTAACATCCTGCTCCTAACATCCCTACCAGGTTCTTTCAATTTTCAAGTGAAACATAATTCCTGATGACAATATTTTAAAGCCATAAAGCACTCAAGTCTCATCTGGTTTCCTTGTAACATCCTTCAAACAGACAAAATGAGTGTCCATGTCTCCAGTGAATCCTCTCTAGGATGATACAACCTCTACTCAACTACTCCTCACACTGCCACCCTTAAGTCTCTTCTACTTTTGGAATTACCACTTTTTTATAGTTAACAGACCACTTCAGTGTTTGATCTAGATCTTGTTTTATGGTCCCTTCTAAAAATAAGGAAACCTGGCAACCTAGGTCCCATTCTTATGGGTCAACAAGCAGCTAAGTCAAGTACCTGCTGCCCTTTTCAGACATTACTCTCCCATTCCCAGTGCCTGTAGCTGGCTCCTGTGGCACAGCCCTGGGTAGTTCAGCTGGCACAGATGTCTCATCATTAAGGGCAGCGGTAGTGACTCAGATTAGCTACATATTTTCAGGACATGCAACATTCCACATATTAGAGGCACTCAATAAATATGTGATAATGAATAAACACATCAAAATATTTCCCTTTCCTCTAAATGAACTACCAATCTGTGTTTTTCTTATATGTGGGTACTGTGAACTTAATCCCCTGAAGTCTGACCAGATGTGCCTCAAGACCTTTCCAGGACTCAGATGCTCTTCTATTTTTTTTTTTCTTCTCTTCCTTCCTTTTTTTGAGATAGACCTTATGTAACCCAGGTTGGCTTTGAACTCCTGATTCTCCTGCCTCTACCTCCCAAATACTGAGACTATAGGCCTATATCATATAGCCTTCCCACCTTTATGATTATTATCACAGGCTTCATCATACACTTTTGTGAATAAAAAAACGAAAGATTCAAAAGTTAAGGCTGGGCCAGGAGTGGTGGTGCATGCCTTTAATCCGGGCACTTGGGAGGCAGAGGCACACGGATCTCTGTGAGTTCGAGGTCAGCCTGGTCTACATAGTGAGTTCCAGGACAGCTGGGGCTACAGGGAGACCCTGTCTCAAAAAGACCAAAAAAAAAAAAGTTAAGGCTAGGTAGAGCCTTCTGTTTGTCTGAGATAGGGCCTCTCCCAGCTCACGCTGGCTTTAGACTCTGTAGTCTAGGATGACTAAGAATATCTGGTCCTCCCACCTGAACCTCCCAAATCCTGAGATTAACATCATGCACCACCAAGCCCAGCTTGCCTAGTTTGCCTCTTAAAGCAAAGTGAACAGAATAAGGACTTGAATTTAATTGTATACAATTGTTATTCTGCTTACTATTTTATTTTGGTTATTGTATTATTACTGTATTAGTAGTATATATTTTTTTTCTGTCTTTTTGAGACAGGGTCTCCCTGTAGCCCCAGCTGAGCTGAACTCACTATGTAGACCAGGCTAGCTTTGAACTCACAAAGATCCACCTGCCTCTGCCTCCCAAGTGCTGGGATTAAAGGCATGTGTCA